ATAAGAAATCTAAATTGTTAGAAAGGGATTTAGAATATGTTGAATATTTGGTATAATTCTTGAGTTTAAGTATTATGGTGAGATATTGAATATTATGATGTGTTCAAGTGATATAAGATGGTTTAAGTGAGTATAGTTGAATTTGAAGTAATGAAAGGAGTTCAAAGTATGAAGTTTATGTAAGTTTAGTTAATTTCGGGTTAAAATAAGAAATTATGGGCAAGGGGTATCGGTATTGTTCATTCAGTACCGATACTTCAAATAGAAAATGAATGATATTTGGGTATGGGTATCGATATTGGATGAACAATATCAATACCATAAGCCAAAAGTTGATAAACTATTCAAGGAGTATCGATATTGAATGATGAGTATCGATACTAGGGGTATCGATACCATTGAGCAAGTATCGGTACCATTTTAAAGAGGAATTCCATAATCGAAATTGGGTATCGATACTGAAGTATAGTATCGATACCATAGTGTAGAAGTATCGGTATTGTACCTTGGGTACCGATACTACTCATGGAAATTGTAAATTAAGTAATTTGTATATGTTATGTTATATAAGGTTGATTAATAGTGATTCAACTTAAGACATTCATATCAATTATATGTATTATGTAGATATCGAATGAAAGTATGTACCAGATGAGTCAACGAGATAAGATCGATCAAGAAAAAGATAAGTGTATTGCTTGGACTAGGGAGGCCGAGGTGAGTGCTTACTATTACTATGTATATTGCTATATGTAAAGTAGACTTGCGATAAGTCTATTTTCACTGTTTTGCATATATGAATACATGAATAAAAGTTTAGTTATGACTTTGTACTATATGAATATGCATTGTTGGTATTACATGTTATGTGATATGTATATGTTATATAAGTTATATGGTAATGATTTATGTGATATATATAATGTGACCATGATCTATATGTTATGTGATCTATGTGAGTACATGAAAATATGAGTTAAGCTATGTGTTATCGACCTAAGTGACTATGTGAATAAGTGGCATGTGAATATGAATCATATGACAATGTTCTATGTGTAAGTGAACTACGTGATTATATGAATATGTGAAATGTTATAAATTATGTGATGATTTGTGTGGCTATATGAATATGTGACAAATATAAATGATAATGCCATGTTATGTGATATGAGAGCTAGGGGTATAGTTGGCATGCCAAGAGTTGAGGGTTCTACGCGGTCCTTCTGGACATATATGTGGTCCTTTGGAACATATATGCGGTCCTTCTGGACATATATGTGGTCCTTTGGAACATATATGCGGTCCTTCGGGACATATATTTGGTCATTCAGGACATTTATGTGGTCCTTCGGGACATATATGTGGTCCTTCGGGACATTTTATATGGCACTCAGTGCAAATTATACGAGTTGTGGTGGCAATATTTGTGCACAACCTCAATGCACTCACATACCTTAAGTTCTCATAAATGTATATGGGCTATTAAAAGAGATAACATAAATAAATTGTATGTGATGATATTTATGTTGTTTTGTGAAATGTCTTATATGATGTGTATAAATAATAAGTACAAGATTATATGCTTAAAGGAATTAATGGTATTAATATGGATAATGATAATAATGTTGATGATGATATATGTGTTTGTATGTATTTGTTATATGAAATGTTATATGGTTTTGTATAATAATATTGTATGAAATGTTTATAAATTGTTAGGTAGCTAAATTTCCATTATATGTTTATATGCCTCACTAAGTCAAAGACTTAACGTGTGAGTGTTTCAGACGTAGGTTCCGAGAAGAAAGAGAAGCAAAGATAAGCAAGACATGTCAACTTCTCCTTTCCAAAGACTAGATCAGAAAAGAATTTGAATTATATGTATTTTGTTATAATGAATGTAGTTGACATGTAATAAGAGAATTGAGTCGATTATGCTCTGATTGGTTTTGTAAAACAATATGATTGTATTTAGTGTAAATTACTCAATTTATTTGAATACAAAATTGAATTTTTAGCTATTTTGTAAAAATAAACGATTTGAAAAGACAATGTGACATTTCGGACTCTTATTCGGGTCGGATACGGATTGAGGGTGTTATAGTGTCATACGTCCACCGTTGTTTTATTATTTGATTTTAAATGATTGAATTATTTATGTTTGATTTAATTATTTGTAGTGATATATGTATAGATTAAAGTGGTCTTATTAACCATTTGTAGTGTTATACGTCCACCATTATTAATATTATGAAATTTAGATTTTATCTAGTGATTCGAATATATGTTTATTAAGTATCTATAGATTTTAACTATTCATTTTTTAATTATTCAAAAATATTTATAGATTTTAATCCTTTGATTGCTTCAAATATATTATTTTAATTTTTAAAATATATTTATTAATTAATGTTATAAAATATAAATTTGATTTAGTGATATGTTAATTTAGTATTTTTAAATTTTAATTATTTGATTTAGTATGCATAAAAAAATTCCTTTGATTTAATGTGTGCGAGTATATATATATTATTTTGATATTATATTTGATATTTATAAATTTATGTTTGGTATATATTAATTAATTTAAATATAATATTTTATTTTCAAAATCTGTCTACTCGTCGTCGTGAAATTGCTCACCGTACGGATCAAAGTCAAAGATATTCGCCGTCATCGAAAAATCTCAATAAAGGTTCGACGTTTTCTTTAAATTTGTTCTATTTATTTTATCTTCTTCTGTTAGTTCTTCTATATTATTTGCAAGTTTGTAGATTATTTAGGTCATGTTACAATTTTTTTTACAGATTACAATCTTATCATGTTATTGATGTTTTTTTAGATTAACCCCACTAAAATCTAGGAATAAGTAATGATTTTGCCGTTTTCCGATATTAGGTGCAAAGTGAATTTGGAGGGAATTGGGTTAACCGGTTACTGATTGCTATTGAGGTTAAGAGTATTGGATTTTGATTGTATATTAAATTTGTGTTGCATATTAGATTTGGGTTTTAACTAAATACATTTTTTGTTTCATTTCGATTCGGGTTTGATGAATTGATTTTCAAACCCAAACAAAAATAATGTTTATGATAGTCATTTTTAGTTATCTTTTGAGCATAAAAAAAATTCAGTGTGGGTACAAGAAAATTTAAGATAGATACAAATTAATTTTAAGGTGACCACGTATATAAAAAATAATACTTAATAAACTAATTTTAAATTTTAAGGTGAACACGAATTCACCCTGAAAAACATATAGTTCTGCGACTGTCTCTGTTCGTCACTAAACAGTCTCATTACACCATCACTACAAACAAGCTTCTGCTCATGCTTGACAAAAAATTGGAATCCTAGAGTCTTGCCCTAGTTGTTAACTTGAAGGAACTTAGCAGAAATAACATAAAACTTGTCAAGGTCACCAGTTTGAATACTTGTACAAAATAAGTTAGAATAATCGAAAGGAATAGTATAGAAGTAAATACACGTTTTTGACAAAATAACCAATTAAAACGAGCAGTTACACAATTTCCTTAAAATAAATTTTTGACAACTCCTATGGTGTTTAAGATCATTAGTCGTCTAAGATACAATTAGATGATCAGCTACGGATACACTTCTTCAGAGATCACGAACTATTTGTTGCATTCGTCTATCACCAAAAAACTAGAGAAGAATAGAAATATTTTATTTGTTTTTGAGTTACTTTTTTAATTGTGTTTAACTTAGTAGGTTTACACGGTATTTATATGGATTTCTCATTGTGAATAATTGAAAATTTTTGACCTAATGAAGCATTAATGAGAATCAAAAAAATTTCAAAATTAATGTTTTGATTAACAGAGCCTTTTTAATATTTATCATTTTGATTCCAAAACAAATTTTGAAAAGATATGCTCAAATAAAGTATTTCGCATTTGAGTTAAAATATGTGCAAGCCACAAAGAGTCTGATCGGTTCGTACATTCACGTTACTCACATCGTGTACGTCTTCAGGTGTACGAACCAACAATTGGTTTCACATTTTTCTCAACAATATCTGGATCAATTTCTCATTCAAAACTTTAAAATTATCGAAAATTTTCAACAAAACGTGATTATTAAGGCTTGAAACCGAGGAGTTAAAGCCACAATGTGACGGTTTTCAAGGTCATCGCCAAACTGTAACCGTATCCACAATATAAAAATATAATAAATCATGTCCGCAATCGTGATACCCCAACTGCAAATGCAATTTAGTACTATGATACCGAGCTATGAGTATTGTAGAAGGTTACCTTTGTCGTTAGGATCCCCATTCCATTTTCCGGCAGTGTGATTCCATTCCCCGGCGAAGTTGACATCTCTCTCCCAGTCAGATTTTATTCACCGACCTTCCCATCCATCTTCGGATTCAGAACATGCAAAATCAGCCAAAAAGAATAAGAAAAAAAGAAGCATAAGCAGACTGTATTTCATTTGTTAAAAGGAATGCATGTGCGAAAACGGAGGGAAATGCGTAAAAAGAATACCATCGAAGCGTTCTTCGAAGAGCACTTCAGCAGAGGCAATGACGAAGAAAGAGACGAGAACCAGAGAGCTAAGATTAGGGATCCCTTTGTGAATAGCCATAACTTAATAGCATGAAGCGTGAAAGTAAAACTGCGGCCGTAGCGTACCATTTACAAATCACTTGCGTAGACCAAAAACACAATTTAAATTCCAAGGATTTGTACTTCAATTTAATTTATTTTTTATTTCTTAAATTGATGTTTAATAATATACAATTATTAGAATATATTTTTGTCGCCTGATCCAATTCCAAATAGCAAAGGCTAGGCTAGGGTTGGTCACCAATAAATTTGGATAAAATCTCTTTAACAAGGATTAAATCAAAACTTGAGCGACAAGCTAAGGGAATTGCGAATTCAAAGAGAAGTAACAATCTGGTAGACAATGGAACATTTTTCAACTAAAAAACTCGGGCTTTAGAAGGCCATCAAAAAGTAAATTTAAAGATGATATAACCAGCAGTTCAGTGGGCTAAGTTTGATACACAAGAAACACTGGCATGGCACTATGAGTATACAAGCATCCACTATATGCAGCATGCATGGTTATGATTGATATTATCAGTATTGTTGTTAGCAATTATCGAACACCAGTTGGATCACAATCTCCTCTTTGGAAGAATCAACAAATAAAAATCTGATAATCAGGCAGTGAATCTCCGATGTTCAAATAGTTTACATCAACCACAACATTCCCCAGATCATCTGCCCAAAACCAAGGAATCGTATGCTTAATGCTTAGTCATAGCATACAAAATTGAGCACAAACATACACTTAACTACACAAATAAAACTAGTATAAAGACAAATGTAATCAAACCTTCGTATATGGTCCTCACAAAATTGACATACTCGGGTATGAGATCCCTATATACGATTCCTCCGGGATGAGCATCCAGGACAAGCAGGACACCTGTCACACCAATTCATACCAAGCTAATTTATATTGAATAATCTTTATTGTAAAACAGGGAAACATTAGTAATTTAGTAGGAACTGAAAACAGATTATTTCTGGCGATTTTATTTAGAACCAAATGCAAAGCCTACAGAAATAGCTACCTGGAGCCATCCATCCCTGTTTTGAATTGCTCGGCAATGGAGCAAGCCAGAGAATATTTCTCAAGTTCATCGAATCATCATAAGTCACATTAGAATCTGGAAAAAGAAATTTTAATCATTAGTGCATAGGGACAAAAATGTAATCAGATGAAATTCGTATACGAATTTCCACATAAATGATACGTCAAAGAAAACATTGAGCAAATTGTACCCTTCTGGCAATAACCCAGGTAATACGGGAACACTTCTTTATCATACGCCGGATATTCTTTAGCATGAAACCTGCAATCCCAATGCTACCACATGAGGAACATGCAAGAGTTCATAGTAATAGATCAATGAAATGAGATATCTAGCGTAAATAACAATATGCATATTGTCTGTTTTCCTGATTATTCCAAATTCAAACACCAAAACTGTGGGTGATCACAACTTAAGCATCTCTAGTGTATATTCTTAACCAATTTCAATAGAAGTTTATCAAAACAACACTACAAGATGATCAGGGTTTTAAAACTAACCGGATTAATAAGTACCAAAAGAAAAGTGGCCCTTAAATTTGGACTCAAGTGCTAATTCCTCTTTTACTCAACATGTTCCAGTTTGTGCTAATTCCTCAACCACAGTGATTGGCAGAAGCAGATTGTCCAGATACCATAGAAAGCTACGTTGAGACTTACTTGGACTCGAGTGCGAGTGCAGGATATTTTATCCGAAAATGTGTCTAACAGGAATTCTTCGAGTAAAATATGTAAGAAGATAGAGAAAACTTACAATATGCCCAGCCTTCCAGTCTGTGTGGCAATGAAAAGGTGGCCATGGAACAAATCATATCGACTTAATGAAACTTTCAATCCAACATCAGGACCCCTCTCAACAATAAGTTTAAACAAGTATTCAATATATGAATTCAACTCCTGCAAATTGATGGTATGAAATATATATATAACAATCTGAAAATTGAACAAAAGAATGTAATATCTGAAGAGTTGACTTTAAAAAAAACCTGGCTTATGAAGCGTCTGCCGTATGGCGTTCTGGTTAACTCGCATTTGTCTTCCTTTGATCCTTCAACATCAGGCACCTGTTGAACAACCGTAATCACAGCCGTTCATCAAGTAGAACTATTAGAGGTGAAAAAAATGAAAAAGAAAACGAAAATATCTTCAACTTACAGGCAAGACGGTTGGATCAAGAGCGCGATGGATTGAATCGGGGTCACCACCGGAGTCAAAAGCGAGCCTGGCCAGCTCAAGAACCGGTTCAGGAGGCCACCAAACGAGATCATTTTCCTTATCTCTTGGGCTTTTCAAAAGGGAACGTCTAGAAAAAGGGAATTTGGAATCAGGGGAGTTTTTGATTGGATTGAAGGGAACGAGGAAATTGAAACAGGATTTGAGTTCATTGGCAACTAAAGGATTAACTGAGGAAGACTGAGATGGTGCGCCCAAGAGAGAGAGCAAATCGGAGGGCGTAGCTTTGGGGATTGAAGATGATGATGATGGTGGTGGTGGTTGGAGCTTGGAGGAGAAGAAGGGAGAAGATGAAGACGCTGCGAAAGAAAAGGAAATAAAAATGGAGAAGCGGAGGGAAAGAGAGGGGATGCCCAGTGGCATATTTTCCCTCCGTTCTGCAACTGGTTTTTGGGATTGTAAGAAATTGGAATTTATAGTATTAGTGCCGTGAGTTCCCTCCGGTTTCAGCAGGGGCTAATGTTTCGCAATATTGGGGGAAGTAGGGTTGGTTGTGGTGCTGGTGCGATAAATTAAGCAGACGAGGTGCACAATAGCCTGATAGGTTGTGTAGGTAATCAAGATGTGACGATAAAATGATCACTAATATCATAAGGGGTGTTTAGACGGGAGAATGTGAGATTTTTATACGAATAGAATTTATATTCCTTGTTTAATTAGTCCGGGAATTTCATTCTCGGTAATGTAAGATTATCAATAGTAAATTTTTTGGGGTATATTACAAGGAATATCATTATCTCCTTTTCTTATATTGTTGGATTATCGACGTTTTGGACTAAAATTCCCTTAATTTTTTTTCAAAAACATCCTTCTTCTGTCATTGAATAATAAAGATTCTACGAAGGTTAAATTACAAATTTATCCTTAAACTATTTTAGATTTATAAAAAAATTCTGTAATTAAAATTTTATATGAAGTTCAGGGGTTAAAATAAAAATTTACCCTTTCATTAAATCTTTTTATATTTTCAATTTTGTAAAAAAAATTATATAAATTTTATGAATTTAATTTTTTTAAAGAAAATATATAAATATTTTTCAACATGTTAAAAAAACAAATATATAATAAGAACAATTTGATCAAATATACATTCTAATAATCTTTTATTCCTTTAACCAAACACGATACTCTTACATTCCTGCTAAGCCAACCAAACACAAAATACAACATTCTCAGTAATCTTATTCCCTGATTGTAACATCCTCAATACCGGGTTAGTGATTTAAGTGTAAGATATTTTTTTTATTCAATGACCAAACTAAAAAAATTGAAAAGTGAATGAATTAATTGAAAGATGTTGGTGTAGGATTAATTAATAAGTGAAGGAGAAATAAGAGGGTAAAAGGGTCATTGAGCAAATAAAGGAATAAAATAATAAATTGTGGGTATTATAATACTCATGTGAATGAATTGAAGAGATAAGTTTCTAGATTTCTTATCTTCTTCACTCTTCTCTTCTTCTAAACGTGAAGACCCAAGCTTAAGGTAAGAATCTAAACCTTGGTCGTTTCTTTGATTTTTAGCTTGGAAATTGAAGTTTGGATGTTATATAAGCTAAAGGAAAGCTTATATGACATTAAAACAACAAGATAAATGTTTTAGAGATAGATTTGAAAAATGAGTTTTTAGATGAAATTTTGATATGGACGAGTTTTTGAGGTTTGAATAAGATTTTTGACTTGTCAAGAGGTTAATTAAGGAATATAGAGTGTTAGAATTGATTAATAACATGTTTGAAATTTGGGTATGATTCTTAGTTTTAAGAATTTGAATGAAATATTAGAAATAATAAAGTGTTGAAATGATAGAAGTTAGTTAAAATGGTTGTAGTTAAGTTTGGTAGTATGAAAGGAACTTTGTATGAGAAAATTTAGTGAAGGGTTGATGATTTTCGGGCTTGAACAGTAAAATTTACAGATTTTGCAGAGGGAATCGATTCCCCCTAAAGGAAAAGTTGAAATTGGTTCATTAAATTTGTTTAAGTTGTTAGAGGTTAATTGCAAGGTTTAGGATTTTGATAATTGTCTCGAAAATTATGTTCATGTAGATATCGAGCCTAAACGAGTTCCGGAACAAGGGGCAAGTAAGATCGATCGAGGGAAAGGCAAAGAGATTTAGGTGAGTGCATATGCATAGCATGATTATAGAAATACATTCAGGTCTAGACTTGTAACATCCGCAATACCGGGTTAGTGACCAAATTGTAAAGTTTTAGAATTTGGTGACTAAAGTAGAAGAATGAAATAATTCAATAATTATTTGAATTTATATAGGGAAGGTTATTTGGTAATTATTGAAGGAAATTAAGGGTATTATGGTCTTTTCCTTTAAAAGATATTCTTCCCCCTTTTATAAGAATGAAAAACGTGGGAAGAGAGCTATCTGGAAGCTTTCTTCTTCTTGCTTTCTCTTCTTCACGTGGGGCTAGCTACAAAAGGTAAGTTAATTTCAGTTGGATAATTCTTAAGTTTTAAGCTTAGTTTTGATTCTTTGGGTATTAAATAAGCTTAAGGAAAGCTTATATGGGATTTAAACAATAAGATAAAGGAATTATGAAGGAAATTTCAATATGAGTTTTAAGATGAAATTTTGATATGGTATGGTTGTTGAGGTTTTATGGATGAATTTGACTTGTCATCAATCTAATTAAGAAGTAGGAAGTGTTAGAATTGGAATTAGAACACATTGAAAATTTGGTATGATTTTTGAATCTTATATGGAAGATAGAATTTTGAGTTTAAAGAAGTGATTATGGAGTAGAAATGAGTTTAAGTATGTGTATGAAAGTTAGGAATATTAAAGGGAATGAAGTATGATGTGTTGAACTGAAAATGAAGGATTTTCGAGCTCAAATATGATTTCTGGGCAAGGGGAATCGGTACCCATTCAAGGGGAACCGATACCCCTTCAAACGAACAAGAATTTCCAGTATGTCATAGGGGAACCGATACCCCCATGGGGGGGGAACCGATTCCCCCTAAAGGAAAATTGGGAATATGGGTTTAATTAGTTAGTTTAAGTTGCTAGTATCCAATTACAAGGTGTAGGTATCTAATGATGGTCTCGAAATGTACGTTTATGTAGATTCTACGCATAAAGCAATTCCGGAACGTTTGGCAAGTAAGATCGATCAAGGGAAAGATAAGAGATTGGAATTGGCTAGTGAGGCCAGGTGAGTGCATATTAGTTAGTTGATGGTGCTAAATGGAAATAAGACTTGCGACAAGTCTATTTCCTATGTTAGAATGCATGAATATATGATTATACGTATATGAATGACATGAATTGTATGTATGCATGAATATATGTGTTGATATGCTTTTGAATGTAATGTTATGAGAAGTATGTGCTATATAAGGTATATATATATATACATATGTGAAACTGAACTATGTGACTGCATGAGAAAGATATGAGCCATATGACATAATATAGGTGAATATGAGAAAGCAAAGTATGAGATATAAACTATGTGATCATAGTAAATATAATTATATTTTTACATGATAGGTGAAATAAACTGGATAATATTGATCTATAGGATGAAGTGAAAATAGTACACCAACTAGGGGATTTGAACATAAATGATAAGATGAACGTATAAGATAAGCTAGATGGGAAGGATTCATAGGTTTAAATAAAACTATAACACATGGATTGAATGATAGAAATTTGTGAAGTTATATGAGAAGATTATAAGAGCTATATGAAATTGAATTAAGTAACAGATTAGATATATATAGAAATAATAGAAGTGAGATATGTTTATAAGTCTGCCCTAGATGAATACGAATATAAGAGTGCTATATGATTTATATTAGGATAATCTTGAGGATATATATATATAGATAGATATGAAATGAAATGAAATGAGTTATATGAATACCCCATTTATGTGATGAAATGGTGAATTACCTGAACATGTGAATATATATGTTTAAGAGAAGGCATACGATTAAGATATAAGCAATGTGACTATAAGTATATGTGCTTTAAGTGATATGACTTATAAGTATTTCTATTATAATGTTATATGATATGTTATGTATGTTAAAGGAATTATGTGATGGTATAAGAATTGATAGGAAATAGATATGTGAAAACCAGTATATGTTACGAGACAAAACTTATGACTATAAGCTACGTGAAAGTGTTCTAGGTGTTTCAATATATTATATGAAGTATATGATCTTATGTGAACAAGATATGATAAGTATGTTTATATGAATAAAGGTGATTGGGTGAGAAATGATAGAATTTATATGAAAACATGACATATGTGACATGTGAATTATATGGAAATGATCTACGGGTAAGTGAACTATGTGACTATGTGATCATATGAAAAGAAGCTATGTGATACGTGATATGTGAAAGTGAATTACAAGTTTATGTGTATATTTGAAATGAAATAAAAGATAACGCCCATGTTATGTGTCATGAGAGCTAGGGGTATAGTTGGCATGCCAAGAGTCGAGGGTTTATTCGGTTCTTTAGGACATATGTATATCCTTTGGAACCTGTGTGAAGTCTTGAAAGACACATACTTGATCCATAGTATATGTATATGATTCTTAAGGAATTCTACGTGGTCCTTATGGACAAATCTACGGGCACTTCGGTGCAATTCTACGGGCACTTCGGTGCAATTCTACGGGCACTTCGGTGCATTTATACGAGCTGTGGTGACAGCATAGTGCACAACCTCTATAGACTCACATATCGATAGTTCTCACATATGTACATGGGCTAATCCAGAGATATGAACAAATATAAGTTAGTGGTATGATAAATGCTATGGAAATGATATGATGTTGTGTGTGTATAGTGTTTGATTGAAATAGTATGTGATTATATGATAAACCGTTAATGATGAATTATGTGTATGCATGTATTTACTGCAATTAAGCTGATATGATTTTATACGATATGAAAAATGCATGAACTTGCTGTAACATGATAGAACAAAACATGCATGTATCAATATAGGTTTTAAAGTGCATTATAAGTTGTTATGCCTCACTAAGTCTTCGACTTAGCGTGTGATTGTTTCACACGTAGGTTTCGAGAAGAGTAAGGAGTGATGCGGAGCAAGACAGGTCAGTTTTCCTTACCAAAAGATCAGATCAGAAATATTTGATAAAGTATGTTTTTGGTTATGTATAAAGTGTTGGCATGTAATAAGTCATTAAGTACGAGCACTCTGATAAAGTCTGTATTTTGTTTTAAATAAAGTTTTAAATTTTCCGGGATTTTTCTTAAGAGTCAAGGTTTGAAAAGTCAATGTGACACTTCGGACTCGTATCCGGGTCGGATACGGGTTGGGGGTGTTACATTTAATGGTATCAGAGCCATGGTTTAGCCGATTCTCGGCATAAACCGAAGTCCAAAAGGTCATAAAAGGTGTACATGCCAACATAGATTGAAAAATTTCTGATCTGATAGTGTAAGGAATACGTTGTCTTGC